GATCCCTCCCGCCACTCTCTTCCTAAACTGCAGCAATGGCCGTCGTATGTCCCTTTGTGTCCTCACGTCCTATACCCTGTGATAGCTCAGGGACCTTAGACCGCTTCAGCAGAGGGGGAGAGAGGCTCCAGGGACCGGTTCAAGGGCTTGTTCACACCATAAACAGTGCGTTCCAGAGCGGTCAGCTGCAGGAACGCACTGTATCGCATCCCGGCTAGCTTCCTGCGTTCAGTGGCGGGAGGGGGTGTGGTGGTGCACATTGAATTCAATGGCACCACAGCCATGCCTCCCCCCATCCACAGTCCCATACAGGACATGGGGCACATCAATGCCTGCGTTCCGGTCCAGTGCGATCTTAAAAAATGCTGCAAGCACTATTTTTTCAGATCGCCCTGGATCGGAATGCAGGCATTGTTTTGCCACGCGTTCTGGTGCGGACTATCACACTGCGGGGGAAGGAGGGGCGTGGCTTCGGTGCCATTGACTTTAATGTACCGCCACACCCCCGCCCGCCCCTGAAAGCAGTAAGCCGGCCGGATTCCCTGGACTTCTTTAAATCTGAACTCTTGCACTGTGGTACCGGCTGCTCGCCTGGACTAGAATTGCTTACTCTGCTTTTCCTATTTCTGACCCACATGCGGCATTCCACAGGAGCGTATAATGAGGGGAATTTGCTCAAATTTGAGCGGCTGTGCACGGCAGTCAATCCGCTCCCAGCTTTCATTTACAAAGCTTAGCTGAACAAACTGGAAGCTGATTGGTTGCCCTGCACGGCGGCTCCACATTCCCCTTATTTGCCACACTAGAAAAAAATGTCGCAATCTGCACTATTTTGGAAGCAGATCTGCAGGATTTTCAGAAGTTAACCCTTGCAGTGGTGGATACCCCCCACACTGCTCGTTTTGGGTCCAGGGGGCTAAATTAAATATGATACGCTCACCTGACCCTTGTCCAGTGGCCGTGACCGCTCACCTCTCCCCCCCTCCGCTCTGGGACATGTGGTACTGTATGGGTTAATTGCACCTTTTGGTCTGGGGGGTAGCAAATAAAGAAGATACACTCAGCCGATCCATGATCCCTCCAGGCTGCTAGGTCGGTCCCCGCAGCCTCTTTTGCCCCGGGCTGCGATGGGGGGGCACTTTTCAAATTCCTGGAGTTCCCCTTTAATGTAGCACCAATGGTAGTTTATCAGACCCATTATAAAAGTTCCGCCGGCCGGTTGCATGGCACTAGCACCCCTAGATGGCGCTGACGAGTATAGCAAATACCAGGGGCGCTAGTGTCATGTGACCGCTTATAAATGAATCCCATAGTGCAGGGGTAGGCAACCTTGGCACTCCAGCTGTTGTGGAACTACAAGTCCCATGAGGCATTGCGGCACTCAAGGAAGACAGTGCCGGGGATGCCTACCTCCACCATAGTGTGAACGGGCCCGTAGTCAGCACTCCTACTTTATCTAAAACTAAAAAAAGAAGAAAAAAAAATATGTTGCAATATTTCTTCTAATATGCTTTACATTGATCTGAAAGGATACCTCAGGAGCCTGCACGGCCGCAGCAGAGGACAGCTACAGTAGTTTGTGAAGGGAGCGCGTTCCCTGTCTTTTTTTATTAGGAATGGAATTTGCTGAGGAGCCTGGAAACCTTCGTCAGTCCCCTGTCACTGTTTTTCGGAGCTGATTGGACAGAACATCACCCCCCTCCAGACAAGAATTCGCAGGCACGGTTTTGTATTTTTAGCAAATTCTTTGGCGGTTTAAAAAAAAAACTAAAATTTTAGGCTACTGCTTTTGCCGAAGACGGAGCGGGACTTGCGTTCCTCCGCTGCGCTTGTTATCCTCATTGTCTCATCAACAAAAAATGGAAGCAGTTGCCTCCAGCAGCCAATCAAACGTCTGGTTTAATTTGCCCGGGCTAACGAAAGGGTAAAAATGACGTTGTTGCTATGGTAATCAGGGACTGGTGTTCGGTGCTCGTGAAATATGGAGCAAAGGGAAGCGAAGCAGAAGTGCTGCCTACAGCAAGCCATCAGCTCCTTTGCTTTAGTCGTAAAGCAAAATTTTGGTGGTTGCCATGGGTAACCGTACCGCTCGGCTTCAGTTTTTTGTGAATGGGCCCCCGTATCTGTGGGAATGGCTCCTTTTTCTTCTCAGCAGTCTCATGCTCTCCTTTCCTGGCCGTCTCTCAGGCTTTAGCTCTTTCTTTAATGAAAGGCAGATGTCAGAGGCTCCTATGTTGGGGGACGGGACGGAAAATCCAAGAGGACTCACCTCATATTCCCTTTTATATTATGTTTTACCCCCAGTTAGGGATGAGCTTTGGGTCAGGGCGACCATCCATGAGTTCAACCCGAACCCAAGCAGGTTGAACGAGCGAACAAGTTCACCTACCCACCAAACCTCTGTCGGTGTCCCAGGTGTTCCACCTGGCGTGGATTCACCTGGACGGTCCGGGTTTTGAATGCTGTGTCCGGGCTTCATGGCATTTGAAACCCGGACACAAGATGTCAGGCAGACAGGGGCAACCAAAATTAAGATAGGGCTACTGCCCCCCCCCCTCTCCCCCCACTGTAAATAGTCTTAACTGTGATATTTACATATGAATAAGCCACAACTCATTCTCACCCAAAAAATGTCCGTGCGTCGCTAGAGTGTTCGGGTGTCGCTTGAAGAAAAAGTGGCAACCCTAGTCCTAGCACGAGGACGCTGTGCGGCTCTGTGCAAGACTGATGGTTAGGCCGCTGGAGATCAGCTTTAAAATGTATGAGGTAACTACCGTTTTACTGGACAGGAAGTGAGGGCAAATCTGCAATCGGGACCGAGACAGAAAAAGAAAGCATTTTGTTTTCTGTCTTTGTTGCTGTGGGAAATGTTCCCTCGTTTCCTGTCTGGTGAAAGTGTTGTCACTGTGACAGCAAGGACTCGGTCACTAGTAAATGATGATGCTGTGGGGTGCCCATCTGAATCCTAGCAACCAATGACACTGTGCGGCTCAGCCTCCAGTTAAACAATGACACTGTGGGGTGCTCATCTGCGTCCTAGCAACCAATGATGCTACGCGGCTCAGCCACCAGTTAAACAATAACACTGTGGGGCGCTTATCTGCGTCCTAGCAACCAATGATACTGTGCGGCTCAGCCACCAGTCAACCAATGATGCTGTGCGGCTCAGCCACCAGTCAACCGATGACGCTGTGCGGCACCCGTCTGCATCCTCGCAACCAATGATGCTGTGCAATTCAGCCACCAGTCAACCAATGACACTATGTGAGTTGCGCAGCATCATTGATTGACTGGTGGCTGAGCCGCACAGCATCATTGGTTGACTGGTGGCTGAGCCGCACAGCATCATTGGTTGTAAAGTACACAGGCGGGTACACCAAAATAACCTATGATGTTGTGGGGCCACTAGCGTCTTGGTAACCAATGAGGCTGTGCAAACCGCACAGCGTCATTGGCTGCTAACAAGCTGGCAGCCACACAGCATTATTGGTTGTTAAGCCGCTGGCAACCCCAAGGCGTCATTGGTTGCTATGGTGCGCCCATCTATATTCTAGCATCCATTAACATTGTGCTGTCCAGCCACTAATGTCATAGCGACCAATGATGTTGAGCGGGGCGCACAGCATCACTAGTTGCTAGGACACAGGCGGTCCTGGCAAACTAGGCACCCCTGCTAACCAACTATATCCCCTCCTGCCCCATCCGACCCATAATAACTCCTAATTTGCTTTTGCAATGCTAAAATGTATTTAGTCCTGCTAATAAAGCTTATTTGAATTTGAATTTGACTCCGAGAGAGGGAAGAAGGGAGGGGGGCAGAGAGTTGAGAGACAGAGGTGTGCCTGCGATAAAAGGAGGAGAGACACACAGGCGGGGACACAGAGAATCAGGTGTGTCCCCGGGACAGGAAGAAGAGACTGCAAGTGACAGAAGAGAGGACAGAAGGAGAGCGGCAGGAGCAGACATTGTCAGGAGACCCAGCACGGGGAACAAGGACTGGCACAGATACAAGGAGCATCTCTGGCAAGAGAAGAGAAATCTGCCTGACATGTGAGCACAGATACAGGCAGCCCGAGGGCAGGGAGGGGACCGGCAGAGCAGACATTGGGGAAAAAAATAGAGTGCAGAAAAAAAGCCCAAAGAGGGGTGAGAGAAAAGTGTGAGAAGTAAACAGTCTCTGTTGAGTTTGCTGAATTCTCAAAGTCTCCTTGTTCCCGGTCTAGAGAGGAGACGAATCGTACAAGATGAGCTGGGCGCAAGAAGAATCCGAGGTCTACAAGATGCTGCATGGGAACGAGGAGGTCAGGACATCCCCAAGACAGTCCAGCAGCTTCAAACTACTGCAGGAGGCCCTGGAGAGCAACCCTGACGGTACCTTTAGAACTTTACTCTATAGATGATACGGCTAGGAGCTGGCACTTAGAGCGTGACACTAAACATGACGCTACTTGGACGTGCGACTACATTGGCGCATGCTACTATTAGGATTGTGGTCACCACCTTGTATGTGATTGCAACTGGTACTTTCTGGTAGATATTACCACTGCTAGGACTCTCCCTACTTTTCAGCTTGTGGTCGCCACCTTGTATGTGACTGCTAATGGTACATACTAACACATATTATCACTGCTAGGACTCCCCCCTAAGCATCAGCTTGTGGTCGCCACCTTGTATGAGACTGTTACTGGTACTTACTAGCAGATATTACCACTACTAGGACTCTCCTTAAGCCCCAGCATGTGGTCACCACCTTGTATGTGATTGTTATTCGTACTTTCTGGTAGATATTAGCACTACTGCGACTCTCCCTAAGCTTCAGCACGTGGTCACCACCTTGTATGTGACTGTTACTGGTACTTACTAGCAGCTATTACCACTACTAGGACTCTCCCTAAGCCCCAGCATGTGGTCACCACCATGTATGTGACTGTTACTGGTACCTACTAGCAGATATTACTACTAATAATACTCTCCCTAAGCTTCAGCTTGTGGTCACCACCTTGTATGTGACTGTTACTGGTACTTTCTAGTAGGTATCACTACTAATAAGACTCTCTATAAGCTTCAATCTTTGGCCACCACCTCATATGTGACTGTTACTGGTACTTACTAGCAGATATTAGCCCTACTAGGACTTTCCCTAAGCATTGGTATGTGACTTGTACTGGTATTTTCTAGCAGATTACCCTTACTAAGCTTTAGCCTGTAGTCACATTCTCGTATGTGACTGTTGCCGGTACTTACTAGCAGATAATACCACTACTAGGACTCTATAAGCTTCAGCCTTGTATCTTGTATGTGAGCTTTACAGGTACTTACTAGCAGATATTACTACTACTAGGACTCTATAAGCTCCAGCCTGTGGTCAAATTCTTACAAGTGACTGTTACTGGTACTTACTAGCAGATGTTAGCACTACTAAGACTCTATATGCTTCAGCCTGTGGTAACCACCTCATATGTCAGCTTTACTGGTATTACTAGCAGATAATACTACTACTACGACTCTATAATCTTCAGCCTGTGGTCACCACCTCGTATGTGAGCTTTACTGTTACTTACTAGCAGATAATACCACCACTAGGACTCTCCATATGCTTCACCACTTCATATGTGACTCTTATGGGTACTTACTAGTAGATATCCCTACTACTATGGTCGTCAATCATGCTTCACTGCACCTGTGTCATTAGAAGATATTTACGCCACTAGGACTGTCACCTCTGCTCCAACCAGGCGACAAAGGAGAGAAATTGCCACAACAGGACACTCTCTGTCACTACAGCCACGAGACAACACTGACACTGTGGACATAGCACATATAATGAGGATAACACTTTTTGCTACTAGTAATATAGCCTTTGCCAGAGCTACCAGTAGGTGGTAAGTCCTAAAGGCTGTTACTACCATTGCTGCCACTTAGCATACTGCCTCCACTAGGACTCTAACGTTCTTTTACGCACCTGCTATCATCATTTGGATTGTCACGGTGGCATGACGGTGCCAATATTAGGACTACCAACACTTCTACCTGTAGACCATGCCATCACTAAGGACTGTCACCCACCGGACTGCTATTACAGACCCTTTCACTGCTAAAGATTCGCTGCCACCAGCAGCTCAGCTCTGCCTTTAGCTGATTTAATACCACCGGGTTCTTCTCTTATTAGCACTGTTGCTTGCATGAAATAATTGCTCATTACTGTGTGCAGAGTGAAGGAGGATGCAGTCTGTGGTATGCAGCGATACGAAAGAGGAAATGAGGTTACTGCCACCGGCAGTACCTGTCATTACTCGCCTCAGACCCTGCTAGTACACTGAGAATCGGGAGGTTTCTCTACATGTCTATTAGTATATCTTGCTTCTAGATAGTTCGAGCCTCTTCAGAGGGGTGGGGGAGGCACCCAACAGGCATGCCCAGTGCTGGCTTACAATGGGAGAACAATGACAACTGGACAAGGTGTTCTAACCTGTTTCATCAGCCATGGTTGGCGGCCTGTGGGTGCTTCATAGACCAATGTCAACTTCATAGACCATGTCAACTTTATAGACCATGTCAACTTTATAGACCTTGTCAACTTTATAGACCTTGTCAACTTCATAGACCTTGTCAACTTCATAGACCTTGTCAACTTCATAGACCTTGTCAACTTCATAGGCCATGTCAACTTTAAGGACCATGTCAACTTCATAGACCATGTCAACTTTATAGACCTTGTCAACTTTATAGACCTTGTCAACTTTGTAGACCTTGTCAACTTTATAGACCTTGTCAACTTCATAGACCTTGTCAACTTCATAGACCATGTCAACTTCATAGACCAACTTAACTGATATGGTGATAACCGGCACATGGGAAGACTGTCATCTAATGTACCAGAGAGCGTTGTTGGTGGATTATTTTTGAAATATATGTATCAGGAGAAGCGAGAATACATGGTGGTGGTCAAGGAGGGCTGTGAGTTCTGGGAAGGAGACCTCATTGCAGAAGTTCTTGAGGAACACAGTGGATGGTTTAGTACACCAGCATCCACCTAGAGCTGAAACACCAGTTTTCTGTGGACTGGTTTCCTAACAACCTATTTTGTAGTGCCGATGACAGAACTCATCTTGTCGTGTTCGCTGGCATTGCCTGCATATTGACCCAGCCAGATTTCCATCACTTCAACACTCATTCAGCATTCACTCATTAGTTTCATGGATTTTTCATAGAATATATAAAGCTGTGACTGTTGTGCAAATGAGGCAAAATCAACTGTTCTTTCTGTATTTTCTGTTTTGTTTGGATGTTCTTGGGGTGTTTTTTTCTTTTAATCAGATGTTCTTAGGGTATTTTGTCTTCTGATTGGATGGTGGGTATTTCCTCTTGTGAATTAATGTTATTAGCATATTATCTTTTAGTATAGGATGTTATGAGTGTATTTCCTCTTCTGATTGAATGATCTTGGGGGTGTTTTCTCTTAGTATTGAATGTTCTTAGGGTATTTTCTAAGGATGCACCAATACCAATGCTAGTATTGGTATCAGTGCCGTTACCGAGTATTTGGGCGAGTACTCGTACTCTGCCAAATGCTCCTGATACTTATCCCGATACCGGAACTTTCGGTATCAGGAAGACAGGCGGTGACTCATTACACGCCGCGGCCGCCCAGCTTCCTGATTAGTTGCGTAGATGGCCAATCATGAAGCTGGGCGGTGAGTCATTACCCGCCCACCGGCTTCCTGATTGGCCAGAAAGCCGGCTCCATATTTCCTCGTCACCTGGTGACGAGGGAGCATGGAGCCGGCTTCCTGGCTAATCAAGAAGCCTGTTGCCGAGTCATTACACGCCACCTGGCTTCCTTAATGGGACTTCCGGTATCAGTATTCGGTGAGTACGGAAAAAAAAATATTGGTACTCGTACTCGGCAACGAAAAACCTAGTATTTTCTTTACTGATTGAATTAGCACGGGTTTTATCTGCGACTTTTGCACAAATGCTGACACATTCACACAGCTCATTTGTAATAATTGGACCCCTAAGAGTCAGAATAATCTGTAGAGTGGATTCTAGCACAATGTTCGCAGCATTTCACACAAATAAACCTGTTGATGATCATATAATAGGTGTATTTATAGAGCTCTATACATCCGACCTTAAAAGGAACAGTTGTGGAGTCCAGAGGGACAGAGGGATTCCGGCCGAAGAGAGGGACCACTCAGAACGACGGGATATTTTTGTGTCCGGGGATCCTGCCGTTGAAGTCAATGACACGGCTACATTTGACCCAGACTAGAAATTGTTAACATGCCACTAGGGCTGTGCTTTGATACTGGCAGAATAGTTACATGTCCCCTGAACAAACTGAGACAGCACTGAGATTAGTGTACACTCCCCGGGATGAGGATCCGACTGAACGCGGGGCTCAATTTTTGTAACTCTGGCGCAGTTCTTGGAATGCCCCAAAGACCTGGTGCAGTCTGCCACGAGCTTGGAATATACTTATAAGGCAAAAAGCCTACAGTGTACAAACTGAATCCAGACAAAACACAAGCTGCTCCAACCTTCTGAGACCAATAATTCATCTCCCTAAGTATGTGGTGACACTTGGAGGACTAACAGATAACCCGCATAGATAGACATGAGGGACCTGAGTGCTTAAACGTATAGAAATATACGTGTTGATCTGAAGATAATGGACGGAGAAGGTAGTCTGAAATAAACACGAGAGAGAAGGGAATGTGAAGTCTAAATGAAAACAAGAAGAAAAATACTTTGGGTTTAAAACACTTGAGCGTTGTACTTGAAGTGATGGCCATGCTGGAAGTAAAGCTTGCTCCTTTGACTTACACCAACTTATGGAACATCACCCTTATACCAACTTTCAAATGAGAGAAGGCATGTCGGTGACCACAAAAGCATCATCTACTCAGGATGTTACAACAAGGAAGTGGCCAACTGTCACGTACCTGGTTGGAGACTGAATGTGTGAGGAGGCCTCCCTTGCACCTCGTGTCCCGATGACTCTGGAGTTGGGGACAGAGTCCAAGCAGACAGCGAGTGGCACGGGTGCCAGTGGTGGTAACACCGAGCAAGCTGGAGTCCAGATGCTGGTTGCAGAGCAGGGCAAGATCCGTAATCAAGGTGAAACGAGCCAAGGTCACACCAGTCGGGCAGGCAAGGTGCAAAGGGATGAGGCAGAGGCAAAGTCCAGTAAACGATCCAAGGTCAAGGGGCGAGCAGCAAACAAGAAAGGTAAAATAGCAAATCCGGGTCAGAAGTCTGGCAATACAAAGCAAGGAATCACAGGGCAGCAATTTGGAGACAGGCAGCTGAGCTTAAATAGAGTGATCCATTAGCCCATTGTGTCCCTTCCTGTGCGCCGTTTGGCACGTTTTTTCGCGGGCGGTCCGTGGCTCGCGCGTGCATGCGCGCAAGTGCCCGTTTTCCAATGATATGGAAAACAGGACTCCGCGCATGCGCAATAACAGATGGTCTCTGACACCAACGCAACGTAACCAACTCTGCCCTGGGCCTGCCGGTATCAGGTTAGTTAAACCCACACAAACACATTTTTTAGTAGAGTGAGGACAGAATATTAGACCTCATTTGGAGGGACTGTCTCTCTTTTGGAACCAATCATAGAGATATCTCCATTGCATGCCAAGCCGGTGTTAACCCTCAAGCGCGGAGTGCTGGAGCAATTGGCCCTGGTATAAAGCAGTAAGTCTACAGCTGTACAAACTTTGTCCAGACAAAACACAAGCTGCTCCAACCCTCTGAGACCATTCATCTCCCTAAGTATGTAGTGACACTTGGAGGACAAACAGATAAGCCGTGTAGATAGAGATAAGGGGCCTGATTGCTAAAATGTATAGAGACATACTTACTGATCTGAAGATAACAGAGACCTTTCTACCACAGGACTGAGAAGGTAGTCCGACATAAACACGAGAGAGGAGGCAATGTTGAGGCTAAATTTAAATCAAGAAGAATGATCAATTGGAACTATAACTTGGGTGTAAATGCTTTACCCGAAGCAATGGCCACACTGAAAGTAAAGCTGGAGGGCCGGAGTGTGCTACCCCTGCTCTAAAGCATTTCAAGCCAAGTCACAGTTTCAAATGCTTCTTCTTGTTTTCATTTAGCCTAAACATTGCCTCCTCTCTCGTGTTTATGTCGGACTACCGTCTCAGTCCTGTGGTAGAAAGGTCTCTGTTATCTTCAGATCAGTAAGTATGTCTCTATACATTTTAGCAATCAGGCCCCTTATGTCTACCAACACTGCTTATCTGTTTGTCCTCCTCGAAGTGTCACCACATACTTAGGGAGATTAATTATTGGTCTCAGAGGGTTGGAGCAGCTTGTGTTTTGTCTGGACAAAGTTTGTACAGCTGTAGACTTACTGCTTTATACCAGGGCCATCCGCCACTCTGCATTTGAGGGTTAATACCGGTTTGCCATGCGATGGAGATATCTCTATGACTGGTTCCAAAAGAGGGACAGTCCCTCCAAATAGGGTATAATATTCAGATAATGGTAGGCTAGGACAGAGTTGGTCACAGAGTGTTGGCCTCTTCCATATTTTGTTGGAATGTCCTGGGTAGAGGATGCTTTTTGGGTCTCATGTGTGGTCACCTATACGCCTTCTGTAATTTGGAGGTTTGCATAGGAGTGATGTTCGATAAGTTGGTATAAGTAAGTCAAAGGAGCCAGCTGTTGTGCAACTACAAATCCTATTAGGCATTGCAAGACTCTGACAGCCACAGGCATGGCTTCCAGAGGCAGATGCATGATGGTATTTGTAGTTTCATCACAGCTAGAGGGCTAGAGTTTGCCTAGCCTTGCTTTAGAGCTTTCCTCGAAGCAATGGCTATACTGAAAGTTCAGCATGCTCCTTTAACATACTCACACCAGCTTATATGGAACCTCATCGTTATGTCAACCTCCAAATTACAGAAGGCATGTAGGTGACCACCTATGAGGCCCAGAAAGCATCCTCTACCCATGAGGTTCCAACAAGATTTGGAACTGGCAAAACAATGTAACCAAATCGATCCTGGCCTACAGGTATCACATTATGTAACCAACAAAAATATATTTTTTTAGTAGACTGAGGAGAGCATATTAGACCTCATTTGGAGAGACTGACTCTCTTTTGGAACCAATCATAGAAATATCTCCATCGAATGCCAAACTGGTATTAACCCTCAACGGCGGAGTGAATGGCATCACCTCAATCAGAATAACAATGTTTCCAACACAACCCTCAAATATGTTGCTACCACACAACAAAAGTTTTGGAACCACTAGGGGTCCCTTCATCAGGCAAAGAGACACCTGAAAAGACCCCTGGTGGTTCCGTATGTTGCACTTTTTCTGTGTGCCGTGTTAAGCAAAAGCCAATAAAGAAGATTTGACTGCAGACGATATGGCTATGCTGGAAACAGATTCTTATTCCTTTGGCATCAGATCTTTTCTCCTCTGTTGTCCCTTATTGGTGTCATATGGACCACCATACAAACTGTATTATTTCACTACCCAAAGTGTTATACACTAAACCTCATTGTATTTAAAGTGCAACTGAACACAAAACTTCTTTAGTTTTGGATAGAGTGGATATGGATTAGAACATTGGTTTTATTACTGTCTGTGTCCCCGTTGGGTGGTCACTAGAACAGGAATAAATGGGAGATCTTTCAGTGGGGTCACTAGTTCTGGTGTCCATCAGTGATTTCCTTCACTTTGGAGGGATTTCCTCTCCCTTCCTGTTGTGGCTCTTGGACAGGAAGTGAAGGGAAATCTTCCCAATGGGACGCAGATAACAGGGGTTATGACCCTCGCTCTAGCCAACACTAAAAAAAAAATAGATTTGTCTTCAGTTCTACTTTAGCCAATTATTTTATGTGTAATAATTCCTTCTGTTCTACACAATCCAAGCCATGGCGGAGTGTCCCTCTCTCTTATCTCAGCAACGGGAAGGTTAGAACTTAATGTTTACATAGCTCTCTGTGACTTCCTGTCCCTGTGACAACTTCAATCCCCCCCCCCCCCTTCTTATGGGTGTCAGAGGGGGCCGGAAGTGTGGAAAAATATCCCTAATGGAGTCACACATTGAAATAAATACCAAACAGAAATGTTAACCCTTTGCAATTCTAGCAAAAGAAATAAACAACAGTTTGGCTGATGTTAAGCTGGCCATACACTACTTAAATTTTGGTCTAGCTTTAGTATGTCTTGTATGTCTAGCTTTAGTCTTGAAGAGATACAAACTTTATAAAGCTCAAAGTTCATCAAAAGTGTGACATGCTCAAGAGGGTCACAAATCACAAATGGAAAACACGTCTCTGATTGAAAAGTGACTCATCCACTGCTTGCAGAAACCATCTGTAGAACTTGGAGGAAGGTGGAGGCTTCAGGCCTACAGAAGTCTCGGAATGTCTTGGATGGAGCTCAGAATAATGAATGTTGTTTTGTTGTATTGCAGGTATTTCCACTTCCTTCCCCAGCAGACTGTCACCCAGCACTCAAAAACCTGTAGCCAGCAGCACTATGCAGAAACCCATCCTCAACTCAGTGCCGTCCCCCCAGAGGGTGTGCGAAAAGTGCAACAGAGGCATCAGGTGAGTGCTGTGACACCATGGTCCAGATAGTGAATGGTAGTGGGGTCAAGTAAGAGCTGTAAACATTGTTGTAAAGTTATTTAATAAGTGCTGTAAAAGTAATAATAAGGCTGGAGCACAGTGATCACAGAGGGTCGCTCGCTGGGCAGTGAAAATGAAAGTTGGTGATCACAGAGGGCCGCCCTTTCCAAACAAGGTTCTGTGAATGGACAATGGGGCGTGTGAACATCACAATCTCCCCTCGTCCAATCACAGGGGGCTCAATTCTGTGAAAAGAATTGAAGACGTTTCCTGAATGGAGGAAGCTGCATTAGGAGGAAGGTGCATGGAGTATGAGTGGGCAGAAGCATGCACAGGCATAGGAAGAGAGGGGGTGCAGGGGGGTGCACAGCAGTATGATATTTCCCATTGATAATAGCTGTCAACTTTAACCTCATGACCAGCCAGTAGGGGCGTGTAGACTTTATACGTCGCTCGTGTATTTTGCATATGAATGACACTTGTGGTCTAAGTTTGTGTGCCCGTTGCGTGCCGAGCCGGCATGTCATAATGACAGTGACATATGTCCATGGTGGCACTCCCATCCTTCTGAAAGTGTTTCCTAATGACACAGTGTGCGTGTTTACCTTAGTGATGTATGTACAGTGTATGACATGTGTTTATCCAGGGTGTCATCGTGGCTGGAATTCCACAAGCAGTGTTCACCACGATATATACATTGCTATGCCGAGAATCTTGGATGTGTTTATAGAAGCTTTGCTCCATCCTCCTCCTTCAGATGATGGTAACAGGTTTGCTTAATAAGGCAGCTCTGTGCCCAATGGTGACGTGCAAAGTGCAATCGCACAAAGCGACCAATCAGCAGTCAGGAAGCTGATTCCTGATGTGTGTGACCTGGGTGGATGATATACAGATGCCCATTATACTTGAAGTCCCCATCGTAGCCTCCAACCAACCTGAACAGGGTTGTCAGTGCTAGCAAATATTCTTCTTTATTCTTCCTAAAGTAATCCTGTGCCAGGGAAGGTTGGAGGCTACGAATGCTGAACCCCAGTTCCTAAAATACTAGTTCCCTGGCTGTCAGGCTAATCCGGTGCCACATCCAGAAGTGCGGGCAGCTGAAGGTATGTGCATTTTTCCTGCCGGAGGCGCACCATCCCTTCAGAAGTCTTGTTGTTTGCCTTTAAAGAAGAACTTTAACCCGTGCATTGGGGCCACTCCCTGCGCTCAGGGCCGGAGGATTTACTCTCTCTGCTGCCCCAAGGCCAGGTTCCTCAATGTGCCCCCCTGCCTGCTAACCCCCCCCACCCCGCCCCCCCATGGAGAATGGCAGAACTGCCAGGATCACTTGTACAAAACAAGCGCTGGCTTCCCCGCTGTATATTTAACCCTGCTTGCCCAAAGCAGGAATAAATGTAGGTGACAACTACTCGCCCGGAACTGCATGTCCCGGGCATCAGGAGATAGGAACTCCAACCCCTGCTGCCCCTCTACTCCCTGCTGCCCCGAGGCCGGGCCATGGTTGGCCTTGTGGGAAATTCAGCCCTGGCCGCGCTGCAAGTGTTCAGTGCTCATTTTGTCTAGGGGGCTAAAATAACAAATATATATTCACCTGAACCTCGCTCCTGCCTGGCTGCTGGATCAGCCCCCACTGCCTCTCTCCCCTTCTACTCCGGCAGTCTAAGGACCCGTGAGTCATCATTTCCAATACAGCGTAATAGACGTGAGGAGAGGGGGAGAGAGGCTGCAGGGACCGATCTAGCTATTATTATTGTATTATTGTTATACAGGATTTATATAGTGCCAACAGTTTGCGCAGCTCTTTATAATTTAAGTATGGAAACACTAATGTCACCTTTGTGTCCATGCAGTGACCTGGCAGTGAGGATCTCCGAGGGACAGTACCGCCACCCAGTGTGCTACGTGTGTTCGGATTGTGGCCTCAACCTACGCATGAGAGGACACTTCTGGGCGGGCAAAGACCTGGTGTGCGAGAAACACGCCCGAGCCAGGCACGGCACGCAGAGCGGAAGCCAGCGCACATGAGCAGATTGATCCGTATCCCGCACCTCTTCACCCTCAGACAAGCCAAGCCCTGATTTGACTCTTCCGGCAGGAGCACCTCGTACCCAAGTGCACCCATCACTGAGCACCGGTGACCTCTACAATGGACTGTGCATGCTCTCGCTTGAACAAAGGATTACTGTAACCTCCGAAGATGCCGCTAACTACATGCCATGTGTACAAGCAATCGGCGATAACATGGTCTGAATTCTACTTTTCATATCTGAAGACAATTATATTCCTATAGATCCCGATGGCCCCCAAAAAAACATATTAGGACACCCCGACCTGTGTGTATAGGGCCCCCCAGCGCTGAATGTCTACTAATCTACAGGCAGGAGGGTTGCAAATGTTATGTACCGATAATTACTGCACAATATGGACAAAGGTCAAAATCGTTCTCTTGTCAGAGTGTGATATGATAAGTAAAGCTGTAACAGTATATGACTTCGCGGGTCACGTGACTTCCTCTTCGCTAAAACAAATACCAAACAAAAGGAAGAGCCTTTCGGTTGCTAACGAGAGTGGTAAAAGCTTCCTTATGAACTTCCTGTATGTCCATCATAACCAGCCATCTGCAAAAGAACAATCAGAATCTTAACCCTTTCCAGACGATAGGAGCCGGCCCTTTAAGAGTTCATATCCTGATCGTGTGATCACTGAGATTGGCTGTCACAGTGATCGTGTCATTCGGGAACCCGTCCCACCAGCTCTGGACTGTTAACAGTGACCAGGAGCTGTCGGTGACAACGCTGTCACAGTGGTGGGAGCATCGAGTGGGCACAAAATAGCGACGCTGGCTGTACGTATATACGTGGCAATGAGGCATTAAGGTCCACTGCCACGGTGCCATATGTATGTGTACGGCTGGGGGGAAGGGGTTATGGGCCCATTTACACTACTGTAAATTGGCCACATTCTATCTTTGACCCGTTTCGAGTCCATTGGCGCGTTTTGGGCGTGTTCAATGGGCCGCCTTAACGCAACACATGTATAATGCGCATCAATACGCACACTTTAACGCACCGTAAAAATATAAATGGACCCTGAGACCCAAGAACAAAAGTGTAATATATTCAGGGGCGTCCCGAGGCCGGCGTCATCGCGCACCTGATTGACGCCTGCCGGTGGCCATCTTGGTGACGGATGCCGGTAGAGAGAGTGGAGGGGACGTTAATACCTCATCCTGACGGGTCGCCTCCTCTCTCCTTACACTGTCAGGCTCTCGGTCCATGACCGAGTGCTCGACTTTTTAGAGGGGTGACACCAAAATGACTGTCAGTCATTTTGGTGTCACCCCTGCAATGGTGTCACCCGGGTGCGGGGCGCACCCCCTTGTGACGCCACTGAATATATTGCAGCTCACCAGTCCTTAGATATAGCTGATGATCCTGCCAGAAATGCCGTGTCCTTGCACTGAAGTCCGGATAAAATAAAGATTGGGCCCTCCCCCAACCGCCCGCCTGCCCGCCTGCCATACAAGGGTTAAATGCTCATTTTTGATTAGAAACAGAAAAAAAGCAGCCATACTCACTGTATTCCTAAGATATCTACATCCGAGTTCCTGGGCTCTACACACTTCCTGTGGCCCTTATGGAGGGTCCACACTCTTCCTGTTGTATGCTTTTTTATTTATTTTATATTATGTAACATGTAGCAGGAGGAACTGGAACACATAGAGGTGACCGGGAACGCACAATACTCCCGGGTGAACAATCTGAGTATCTAACATACATAAGGAGTCGAGGGCTGACCAGCTCCATCTATGCCTAAAATATCACTTTTCAGGTGACTGGCCCTTGAAGCACTTTCTGTGTTTCATAGAGTCGAGGTGCACAAGTTGGTGCAAGTCCAGTAAAAGTTTATGAGTCTTGCTAAAAAAAAATCAGAATACCAAGGCAACACATTTCATGGGCTCAAAACTCCCCCCTCATCAGGGCTTAGCAGCAGGTTGTAATAGAGGCTTCTACTGGATACACAATGGCAAGGCTATGAAAGTTACTACGGTATGATAGCATTGCATCACAACCTGACAGCCAGCTTCTAAGCCCCCTGGTGCCCAAACTACAGCCTGATGGCCACATGCAGCCCCTTGGTACTAGCTGTGTGGCTCTTTGCTGAACCAAACAGCAAGTATTGGAAGTATTCATTTGTATAGAGGCTATAAGGACAGTGATCCCCAGCAGTCTCATGTAGCATATCCCCAGTCTCTCTATCTCATCTACTGGGTTTCCCAAGCACCCCTGTTGCAGGTCTGCAGTCTCTAATTGTCTCCTCTAATATGTCTGAAGTCTTTGAGATATATATATATATATAGAGAGAGAGATACTATATTCAGCCCTTTGGTGCTGTCAGGGGCCACAGTTGAGGCCCCCCACACTTAGCAAGATGACGACTCTTCTAAGCCTTGAAGAAGGGGGAGTTTTGAGCCCCTGAAACATGTTAGCTTTGTTGGCTTTTTTTGGACATGCACAAACTTGTGCACGCTCATGCTTTTACATGTTGCTCAGACTTTTCTGAGGACCCTTAGGGCCCTTTCACACGGGCTGATCAGTAGAGGATCCATGCACGGATCCAATCCTGATCACAGCCGTACGGAGCTGTGACACCCGACTCCGTACAGTTTTTTCCACCACCTTGCGACGGAGGAAAAAGGGAAAGTGCTGGACCCCATGTTGGTCTACGGGGAATCTGATGTAAACGGACACGTGCCCATTACCCCGATCCGGTCTGTTGAAACGGATTCTGATCCGTCTGTTTTTGCGGACCTGGACGGAGCCGCGGGTTCTTGGGTGTAAACAGACGCTGGACCATTTACACACGGCTGCCCATAGACTTGCATTGGGCATCTGATCGGCTCTGCCTGAAAAACTGACAGGCGGACCCCATCGGGGTGGCCGTGTGAAAGGGGCCTTAGAGATTCTCCACATAACAGGGAGCTGCCTTCTTTGACCTGGAGATCAAACGTCACTTACCCATTTGGGTTTAGCACCCCTCACACGACTTCTGTAATATAATAAGAATAAGGAAAGTCATGTAATATATTTATTTTATTACAGTTCTCTTTGAAGGAGGGCAATGCCCCTTATATCAGATATATGCAGTTAGCCGTGTCACTAGTGACTGCTTACAGATAATGGCGCCGTAATATTGATAACAGCAAAGCTAAAATATTGCCCCCGATAAGTATTTGTCATTTTCCGTCACCATGAAATACGGTAATTGTATATTTATCAATCTTCGTTGCCATGACAGAATTGTGGGCCTCATTTATGTAACCATTTGGAAAGAATGGATCTGTATTGCCCATAACAGCCAATCAGACACTTGCTTTCGTGTAAGAAGGGCAGGGAGGTTGGAGTCCACCTTTGTTCACTTACCTATAAATGCCTTTTTATGTCTTTATTTCATGTGCTAATAAAATGACGTTAAAAAAAAATAGATTCACATCGTGTGCTTTCATCGTAGACACTACTGGATAGACTTCACCAAACTGTCATGGCAAGCCCATACGTTCTCCTCTGATTGGTGAAACCATGTGGCCAGTGCTCAGTATCTTCTAATAGGGCTATTCATAAAAGGGTAAAGAGTTTGAAGAAGGCCGGAGAAGAGAACAATCTAGGACAACATAACTGAACTGGAAAAATTATCCAATTCAGCTCACTTTCCAGTTCAGCTATGTAGTCCTAGATTGTTCTCTTCTCCGGCCTTCTCCAAACCCTTCACCCTTATGTGAATAGCCCTGTTAAAGTCCTTCCAAGGACACCACCATTGGGGTGTTCTCAGGGATTCCAGTCATTTGCATGTACATTTATGGCTCTATTTCCCCCCTCACCTTTCCTCCCGACCACCTTCCCCATCTTAACTCCTTCCCCACCCCTCCCTTTCTTTTTTTCTCTTTTCTTTTTGTATTCTCCCATTTATCTTCCTCTCTTTTCTATATTTGCTTTCCTTGGCCTCTTCACTCTTCTTTCTCCTCCTCCAGAGTATTGTCAGGTTTGAGACCTAGTGGAGGGGTCTCCTTGCCAGGTTTAGCCTACTCCTTGCCTAATGGTTGTCACATTTCTAGTTTCACAAGATTAAGAAGGGTGACACAGAATCTATAGATCAGCCTTTCTCAACCAAGGTTCCTTCAGAGATTGCTAAGGGTTCCATGAGCTGTGGTGGATGGATTTCCCACCTGACAGCGCCTACAAAGTTGCAGTATTGACAATACTTTTTATAAGGCACGTCTCTGACCTCCAATGTAATGCTGCATTCTTTTCCACTAACCACTAATGTAAAGGGGAACCTATCCAACTGACCAGCAATGCAAAGCGGCTCCTTTCCTACTGACCACCAATGTCAAGGGGAACCTCTCCAACTGACCAAATGCAAAGCGGCTCCTTTCCTACTAACCACCAATGTCAAGGGGAACCTCTCCAACTGACCAAATGCAAAGCGGCTCCTTTCCTACTAACCACCAATGTCAAGGGGAACCTCTCCAACTGACCAAATGCAAAGCGGCTCCTTTCCTACTAACCACCAATGTCAAGGGGAACCTCTCCAACTGACCAGCAATGCAAAGCGGCTACTTTCCTACTGACCACCAATGTCAAGGGGAACCTCTCTTACTGACCACCAATGTAAAGCGGCTCCTTTCCTACTGACCACCAATGTCAAGTGGAACCTCTCCAACTGACCAAATGCAAAGCGGCTCTTTTCCTACTGACCACCAATGTCAAGGGGAACCTCTCCAACTGACCAGCAATGCAAAGCGGCTACTTTCCTACTGACCACCAATGTCAAGGGGAACCTCTCTTACTGACCACCAATGTAAAGTGGCTCCTTTCCTACTGACCCCCAATGTAAAGTGGCTCCTTTCCTACTGACCCCCAATGTAAAGGATCTCCAACTGACCAAATGCAAAGCGGCTCTTTTCCTACTGACCACCAATGTCAAGGGGAACCTCTCCAACTGACCAGCAATGCAAAGCGGCTACTT